GGAAACGTAATCCTGCCTAAGGACCAAATTATTTTAAGCTTTTAATCTTAGAAACTTAACAAAATATCGGCTAATTAATACTATTCCGGACTAAATTAAATTTAAAAGGGAATAGTCGACACTTACTGGAAAGATAAAATTGTACAAGTCGACCTGTTTTGGGATACCAGTTAAACCAAGATCCTGCAGGACTGAAGGGCGTACAGTACCTACTGGCAGAGCATGCTGCAGAATCTAAGGCCTAGTAGGTGAAGGTACTGGCGACGATGATGGCTGCGGTAATAATAATTTTAGTAACTATTTCGATCAAGTTATGCAGGCCGTGAGAATATTATTAGCAAAAAGATTTGCTCTACCTCTTCCCTTTTATCATTTATCTTATCTCCTACTTTTGTCGTTCCATACAGACATAAATGGCGTTTCACAAAAGCAACATTTGTTCGAAAAAACGTTTTTCTTTAATTTATTGTGGTTTTATCGTTCATTGTTCTAGGTTTAACCCTAGTAACTTCAGAAATGAACCCTCCCAGGAGGAAAAAAGGAGTTGACAGGCTAATATTATTACGGCCTAAATTCACCTAATGAACTCATTCTCGACGCTTATTGCAATGTGAAGTTGAACAGGACCGTTGAAAGGCCTGTTTTGGTGCACCAGAGAAACATGGACCCCTCTAAAGACCTACAAAGTATGCTGGTGTTAGATAAAGCTGCAAAATCTACAGAACAGAACATTAACGACTTGGCGGTGAAGGGCAAAGTAGTCTGCAATTGCAAAAGAACTTTCAGCAACTACTTGGATGACATTTGGAAGACTGAGTGGGCAGGTCGCGAATAAGTGCCGAATAGAATTGCCTGCTGTCCAACCGGAAACTAATCGTTTTGCCCAAAGGCCAAATTTATGGTTAAAACTTAAGTTGTTTTTGTTCTTCTTTTATGGTTTGACTAATTGTAAGACAAATAAGGAGCAGTGTACGCTAAAAGAACTTTGGATCAGGTTTGGCAGACTGGGATAAAAATGTGAAAATGAATGATGACATACCCTCGAAGTTTCTTCACTTTATCCAAAATTATGAAGGTCCATTACTGGATTTTTCCTAAAAGGCGTCCTCCAGATTCTTACCTGGATAGTTGCTCCACTGGTGAGGATGTGAAGGGCGATGATGGAGTTTAATAGGAAGATAAACTTCGCACATAATTAAGTTAAATGATGATCTAATGATCAAGTCTAGTTTTGTACTTAATAATCCCAATCTCTTTCAAGTGTAAATCATCTAATAACATATACGATCGTGACTGGATTAGTTATTAGCGTTTCGCACCATCGTGGTTCAATACGGTTCATTTATCAAACCATCTGAGAATTTCAGCACGGACATAGTTGGGATGGATGGAACAGCAAGAATTAATAGCCCAGAGGATGAACATGGCAGGTGGCCAACTTCAAAAGACCCTTCCATATATTAAATACCGCAATATATTGTACATTTTCTTGAGTTATGCAGTTTCTTTGAAATATATAATCGATATTTTGACTTTGTAAAAAGAGATGGAAATTCGATAACCATAGGCAGGCCAAGTTGCTTTTTTTCTATTGTTTCAAATACTACAGTAATTATTATGATTCGAATAGATTAGTTTTTATTAGTTTTTGTAATTTATCCTCATGGGTATTTAACATTAATAAAATTTGCACGGATTTTATTGCTTTTTGACGGAGAATCCAAGTATTTTTCCCTTACAAAACTAAACATAGCGGACAAAGTTGTATTTCTTTTAATTTTTTTTTTTTGGGGGGGATACTATTTTTTAAATAAACCCCTTATTTTGATATAATTGAAATATCTTAAATTCTCCCCCCATCCAATTGAATTTCATTTACCTTATTTCCTTTCCGTCGAGTTGTTTTAATCGTCCCACATTCGAACCGATTTGGCGCTTTAACCCTTTAACTGTTTTTTAATATGACTTACCTGGCCGGGCTTTATAGCTTTCGTGACGGCCCGGAATTTTAAAGAAATATATTTTTATTATGCAGTTTGTCTACAGAAAGATTTCGCGAGTGTTTCCTCTCCCTTTTGTCCAAATTTAAATTTATCAATTTCACTATTAAAATTTAAACTTATTACTTCAAAGATTAGCTACGAATTTGAAGTAAATAGAAAAATATGCTCGGCGCTTTTCTAACATATATTTTATCTTTATTTATTTAGAAATCGTGAGATGCGGTCTGGTGTGATGTAGGTTTCAGAAAAACATTTTCTTTATCGTGCCAACGTTTCGATCTTTATTGAGATCATCTTCAGGGCCTGGGATTTCTTTCTGAAGATGATCTCAATAAAGATCGAAACGTTGGCACGATAAAGAAAATGTTTTTCTGAAACCTACATCACACCAGACCGCATCTCACGATTTCTAAATAAATATCGATTAACGGTCACTAATCACCACACATTTTATCTTTATTCGTTATTTCGTATTTAAATAAAATGTAGATATTTTTGGCCCATCCGTTAATTAAAATAGCTTTTTAGGTTGATTTTAATAAATGTTTTTTATGCATTTAATTTTCAGAAGATTTTTGTTATCGGCGAGAGAAACTCCAGAGGCGGAATATGACTAAAAATATGTGATTAGGAATATTTTCATAATTTTATCTCCCTGATGCCTTATCTTAAACGTCTTTTAAGCATTAGTGGGCGTAAAGTAGGCTTTAATTAACACAAGGCCGTAAAAATTCAAAGTAACGGCAGAAGGCGAGAGGGACAAAGAGCGTTATTGACTTATCATATTCACTTCCTAACCTGCCTACGATAATAAATAAATAAAAAAGATCAGCGGAAATCGAGGAAATAAAGGCCGACTGGGTCCCATTTTAATTAAGTCCATAAGCTGTCTTCTTATTTGCCCGCTTGTTTGTCAGATTCTTAACAATTGGGGTTTTATTAAAACACAGAAGATTCAGGTTTCCATTATCAAATATTGGGTACGACTAAATCCTGGGTCAATGGGATTGTATTCCAGGATAAAGGCACGAAAAAAAAATTATGAAATCGCAAAAACTCACGAACTTAAACCTAGGATGTGCTACGACTGAAATAATAGTAGGACTGCTGACTGAACACTGCAAAGGCATAAACATAGAGCATAAGAAACAATCCTGTTCTGTTTGTGTAAGACCTACGTATAAACGATCGTATAAACAATTTAAGATTAACAAAAAGGTTCAGACAATAATAGAGATTGGAGATAGACCAATATTGGTCGCGGTGCGGAAGGCCGTAAACAGGCCGACTTCTTTTAACCTTATGCCTTATCTTTCAATTAATTAAGGTTTTTAGTTGAGATAAAAATGTCAGTGTCACGAGCGGGATTCGAACCCACGACCTTCGGCAAGATACGCCGCTGCTCTACTACTTGAGCTATCGTGACTTCAATCCACGTTTTTATCTCAACTAAAAACCTAAATAGTGAATTTAATAAGTTTAAATGAAGTATACCTTCACTAAAGCTCTCCTTGGCCATTTCATTTGTCGCCGAGACTGAAATAGATTACACGACATTTAAAAAATGGCAAAAAGGAGGGAAAATTCGAAAGGTGGGGTGAGATGGGAAGTTCGTGTCTGAGTGGATCGAAGTCACGATAGCTCGAGTGGTAGAGCAGCGGCGTATCTAGCCGAAGGTCGTGGGTTCGAATCCCGCTCGTGACACTGACATTTTTATCTCAACTAAAAACCTTAATTAATTGAAAGATATTAATTGGTCAAGTGGACCACGACACTAGTGAACTTATGCTTTATTAATTAAAATTAAACATAAAATAATTGGCAGATAAGAAACAAACCCCCTTTTATTTAACTTAACCCTTTTTAACTTTAAATTAATTATTTTTTACTTCAAATTAACGTGTTTTTTTTAAGAATTCCAAATTAGGCGATCCTATGAAATATAAGCATGTAAAGTAAAATTCCTGTTTATTAGAGAATTTTTTGCCAATGGAAAATAAATGAAAAAAATAATTAAAAATTGTATGAAAATCAATTCATTACGTTTTTAAACTATTTAAAATATAAAAATAATGATTTTTCTTTTTATATAAGTATTTTTTAAAATATAAAATAAATGGGCTCTTAAAAACCATATGAAAGTTGATTAATGAAATTACGTAAATTTACAAATATATAAATCAAAATATATAGAAATTATAAATATATATAAATAAAGGATTCTTCGTTTCATTTAAGAAATTGTACTTTTTAAGACCCCCCCATTATTTTTTGTTAAAAAATCTCAAATTAACAAAAGAATAATTTGCCTTTATATTTATTTAGTTTTGTATAATTATTAATTTGAATTTTAATAATTTTTCATACCATCAAATATAGGGATTTTATGGACTTTATGTGCATATATTTCATACCTTTTATTTACAGAGGATATTTGAAATTTAAAAAGGTTAATTGAAAGGTAAAAAAATTCTAATTTGTATGTAAAAAAGGGGATTTGGAATTGAAGATTAAAAAAAAATGTTGATTTGAAATTAAAAAATTCAATTCGAAGTTATGGCAAAAGTTAATTTGAAATTAAAAAGAATTAATTTGAAGGTTAAAAAAAGATTAATTTGAAGGTAAAAATGTTAAATTTGAATCAAAATGGTTGATGTTGATGTATAATAATGTTAATCGTAAAACAGGTGAATTTGAAGTTAAAATTTTTTGATTTGAGTTTAAATAGGAGTAATTTGAAGGGAACAAGGATCAAATTGGCATAAAAAAGCTGTTCCCAGATTCTGTTTAAAGACATCAAATTCTTTTTATCTTTCTGGAACACCCAAAAATTTTTCCTCTGGTTATGGAATTGTTTAAAATACTAAATATATATAATGTATTGTGAAAATGTTTAAATATTTCCATTGAATTATTTAATGTATATTGCATAGCCTAACATATTCATTGACAGCTTTTGTTGTGTTTTCTGTATGCTTAAATTTTGCTTTTTTTCAGGGACGCCACAAAAGGAACGCCACGTTTCCTGGGACTCAGTCTGCAAGTAAGACCACTCACATCCTCCAGACTCCGCCCATCAGAGGTAACTGAAAACCATATTATCTTTTAAAAACATCGTTTGTCATAAAACAATTCCTAGGATCACCAGGTCTGGCCAACGAGGCAGCCAGAAACCAGTACAATACAAGGATTTCAACACCTGTCTGGGAGGGTGATGATGTATTCCCGACTAAAGATACCGCATCACCGACCAAGTCTTCTCCGATTGAGCAAATCCCACAGACAAATACCAACAGCGAACCAAGAAAAGGTAAACATGTTTTTACTTTTTTAATGACTTGTATACAAAGGAATTGAATTTTTAGTTTATATGGGATCGCCTCCGACGAGAGATAAGGTTGATGAAAAAGGTAGGACGCGCAGAGTGGCAAACAGGGAGAAAAGAGGGTTGAAGTCGAACAGGAGTTACTCAGAGGATATAACGAAAATGGTCCCCAACTGGCAGGACAAGCCTCAGACAGGTAAATGAAATTCTTGTAATTTTTGAAATTTTTTACTCATTTTCATTTGATTTGTTCAGGCCATCCAGAAGTCTCTCACAGACTCTTGTTAGAAGAGTATGAAAGCGAGTGCAAGCTTAAAGACATTGCTGACTCGATTACGAGGCCGAGGACGAGGTCGCTCCAAAACTCTCAGCATTGCCTCGAACCAACCCGGGACGGCGATGTCACCTCCCACAAACAAGTAAGGGGTGATCCTGACGGTTGCGGGTTGGACGTGTCGATCCTGAGGTATTCTCCGAGTGACCTACGAGTGGATCTTCCAGCCGAGGAACTTCTGAACATCAAACGTGGCTGGCTCATGAAACAGGGGCAAGATAAGGTAAAGACATTTTAACTTTGTGTTTGAAAATTGCTAATTGGACTTTTTTAGGAATGGACTAGGCATTGGTTCGTCTTAAGAGGGAATGGCCTTCTTTATTACCGTGATCCTAAAGCAGAAGATCAAGGGATTCTTGATGGAGTTATTGATCTGTCCGGCATCAGCAATGTGACAGAAATGCAAGTGCAAAGAAACTATGGCTTCCAGCTTACGGTAATATTATTTTATAATTAATTTTATGAAATTTTTTAAATAATTTTCTCTTTTAAAGACCTGGGATGGAAAACAATATGTTCTTTCTGCCCTCACTGGTGGAATCAGGGCCCATTGGTTGACCGCTCTGAAAAAAGCAGCTGGAATACAGGACTCTTCTATAGAACTTAGTTCACCCGTTCAGTAAGTTTTTTGGGATTTTAGTTTTTTAAATTATATTTTTAACAATGGACTATTTTTATCAGGGAGCATGATTCTTTGGTTACCTCGACACCGATGACGCCAAGATCTCTTCTGTTTTCATCCGACGATGAATACAGAACAGCATCAGAAACTGGTAGGCGAGAGAGCGGCGAATGGGGTGAAGCGCTCCCGCCTTCACCGCCTCTCAATCGAACGCCTATGTCCAAAGTTAAAGAAAGAGCACGGTATTTATTTTGCATGCAATTTTTGAGGATGTTTATGTTCATGTAACTTTTTTCTTTTGTAGAGGGGTTTCAAAGTGGAAAGGATATGGTACGAAACGATCGAAATCTTCTCCTCCGAACTCACGACGATCGACACTTGATTCAGTTTCAAGCCGTGATCTGATTGTAGCATGTAATCCTACAAGTCCCACGTCAAAGGTTTGTGTAAGAAGTTTTATTGTTTTATTTTTCTTTCTGACGTAAAATATACATTTTTAGATGAAAGAGTTGAATGAGGACAGTGCTGATTATTCATTGTATAGAGAAAAGAGCAGTAGTCAGGAGGAAATGAAGCCAAAAATCAGGACAGCTGATTTAGTCGCTTTGGAAAGAAAAGTAAACAAAAGTGTTTTTAATATATTTTGTAATATTTTTGCACAATTTTAAATTTTTTAGGTTGAAGATTTGATGAAGCGTGAAGAAGAAACCGGTAAACAGAGGGCGAAAGACACCGCAGAGTATGAAGCATTAAAGAACAGGTTCGTTTTTGTGAGGCGATTAATAAAAAAAAGACAAAACAGTTTATTTTTTCTCTGTTCAGATATGTTGAAGAAAAGTGCAAATGGGAAAGAGCAATGCAATCAGTTGAATGCGAGCTCGAGGATGCAAACACGAGATGCGCCAGCCTTTGCGCCGAACTAACCGAGCACAAAGAGATGGAAGAAAAGCTTCAAAACGAACTGCAAAAATTAGAAATTCGGCTGACCTGTGCAATAGAAGAGAATGAAGCACTTTACCGGCGAGTCCAGGAACTTGAGAAGCCGACTTTGGCCGTGAAGGACAGGTCGAGGAGTGTCGATTCCCTTAGTGACCTTACAAACATTGATCTTGATCTTGATTTCGACCAACTTGATAAAGACAGGTAAGGATTTATCCACTTTTACAACAAAAGATTTTACATTAAAAAATTTTTCCCCTTAGAATTGCGGAAGAATATACCGATTTGAGAGCTAGGTTTGAAAAAGCTGTCAATGAGATCAGAGCTCTCAAGAGAGAATTACGAGACTCGCAGGCTGCTGCAGATTGGCTGGAGTTGAGTGTCGTTAGTGCAAGGCAGGAAGCGAAAGGACTTAGAGAAGAATCTGATGCTAGCAGCAAACTCATGGCTGCTAGAATTCAAGATCTGGCAACTAAACTTTCCTCTGCTGAAAAACAAGTAAGCATAATCCAATAATTATAACTACAGTTGATTATTCAGAAACTAACAATCTTTCTCAATAGATTCGTACGCTGAAACAAAAGTTGTCAAAGACTGAAACAAGAGAGAAGAGAAGGTCTCTGTCATTAAAAGGAAGGGAATCATTTACGATTTGCAAAGAACTCGAGGATAAATTGACCGAGTTGGAGAACAAGATGAATATTATTGATCCCACAGCCATCCCTGAAGTACCCGAGGGGCCTTCATCGCTTGTCGTCGAGAGTAAAAAATCAGATAAAGTTTCTGCCCGGTTGAGGAGAAAATCGCTCGACAGTGCTACGAGTACGGAACCTCTGAAGATTCTGCTAAGACTGAGAAACCTCGAGGCCAAGGTAGCCCAGGCGAGCGCTTCAGATAACAAGAAAATTGAACTAAAACTATTCAACGGAGAACAGGACGAGGTAGATAGTCCACAGAAGACTGAGATGATGAATGAAGTGAAAAAGATGGAAAACCTCCTTCGAGCCAAGTTGATCGTGCTTGCAAAGAAGAAAGAATCCTTAATCAAAGCAGGACAGTGGTCGAATGAAGCTAAATTAAACCTATTAGCAGAAAAACTTGCTTATGAGTCCGTCCTTATTGGCCGCTTACACGATGCAGTGATGGAAAGTAAAGGTTTGGATCTTACCGATGCCGAACGATTGATCATCAGTCTCGATAATAAAATCAGCGGTGGGAAACCGAATATCGAAACCTCTTTAGATTATTTGGTAAAGTCATTGGCTAAACATTTATCCCAACAAGGAGTGAAAAGAGTCAACAGGAAGCCAAAAGATAGGAAAAAACAAGATCCGGTTGTAAATGAACTTCTGAGCAAGAAGAGTGTGATTGATGCCAAAGTGAGTAAGTACATCGATGAAGTCGTCGATCAACTGGCACAAGCTTTTGCTGTCGAGAGCCTTGCCGATGACGCAGGGATGGACCGCAGCAAAGACAAAATACAAGCCGCATGGTCTCTGGCCCAAGAGGCCGTAAACCAAGAGTTAATACAAGCAGAAATCTCTCAGGTTTTAGCACAATGTTCGCAGACGTACCGCAGCTATATAGAGAATGAGAATCAGACGAGATTTGCTGGAATTGTAAAGGATAGGGCCAATTTGGAAATGTGGGTTTCTTTAGCTGATGAAAATCTGACTAATGATATGGGAGTGGCCCTTAAGAAACTGCAAGACGAGTATACAACGAGACTGCAAAGACTCAAGGCGGAAAACACCTCTCCTATTAGACCTACAGAAGAAGATGAAGAGAGGTCAAGGGAGCTTTTGATCCAGTTTGCAGATGTCGTCGCACACAAGTCCCTCCTGGATGCAAGAGTAGCCGTTCTGTGCAACGGCGAATACTCCGATCTTGAGACTGAGCACATCCCTTTCGAAGAGAACAGCCTCCTCTCCGAGATACAGTTCTTATACGTCAAATTCTGCCGCGAGCTTTCGCAAGATTCAAAAGACGAGGAGAAACTCAAAGACGCCATCGAGAAAGTGAGCAAAGAAGTCAATTGCCTGGAAAGAATTCTGAGGCCGGACGCGCCGTGCGAAACATTCGAACACTGCGCCGACAACCTGATAGACTCACTCTGTAGGAAATGTGAACATCTCAAGGAGAAATTGGTGTGCTTGCAAAAGTGCGCCGAAGAAAAGCAAGAGTGCTCTAGCTGTGCAAGTTTACAACAAGAAATTTCTAGGTATGAGTTTGTTTTAATCTGCGATTTATGTTTGGTAAATGAGGTTTGTTTAATAAAATTGCTTTCTTTTCAGGCTTGAAACTAATCATAAGTCTGAAATCGATGAGCTTAATAAAAAGCACAAATCAGAATTAAACAAAGTGACTGCTGATTTTGAACAACAGAAGAGCAATTTGGTACTTTTCATAGCTGTATTACTTTAACCTCTAAGAAAAGGATATTATTAAACTAGTATATGATTTTCCAGATTCAAAGGTACAAGGAGGAAGAGGACAAGCTGATCGATAAAAACAGAAAACTGGAAAAACATGTAGATTCCTGGGACGCTGAATACAACACCCAGGCTGAGGACTTGAAAAAGTACTCAAAGGCACTCAGCTCGTCAAGCTCAGATTTAGAAGAGGAGGAAAACATGCGTCATCGCTACCAAGCTGAAATCCAGCATCTGAGGGTAAGTCGTTTACTCATAGATTATCATTTTTACGTTTTTGACGTTTTTTTTGTTTGTCTTAGGCTGTTTGTGAAAAGGGGCTCGTCGGCATGGAAAATTCACACAAAAGACAGATAGTGGAACTGCAAGAAAAACACGAACGTGAGCTGAAGGCTCTCCGGCTTGAAAAGGACCAAGCACTTGCTGAAGAGACTCATGCAACACTAGCAGGTATGTTTCCCATGCTGAAAATAAACAATTTATAAACAAAAATGCATTTTAAAAAAATCAGCTGTTATCTTATTTAATCATATTTATATTTAGTTACAAACTGATTTACAACTACAACTCTATTGTGACTATTGTGATTTTGTATGAAATCGTTATTTTTTATTAGCACTTGATGCAATGAGAAAGGCACATGAGGCTGAGGTGCAGAAGGAAGTGGCCAAGTTCAAGACGGAGTACATGAGCAAAATGCAGTCCAATCACGACATTACCGCCCTGCACAAACAGCACCAGTAAGTTTTAAACCTCGAGATCGTCCAAGGATTCCATTTACAATTTTCAACGTTTCAGGGCCGAGATGGAAGAGATTAAAAAAGAGATTCTGTCTCTCTCTGACAAGTATTCCATAAAATGCGTCGAGAGCGCATCCCTCGAGGACAAGCTCCGCGTCGCCAATCAACAGCTCGCCCATGCCCACCAGCACATAATGCAGTTAGATGCAAGGTACGATCAATACTTATACTCTAAAGTACCTGTTGGCCAGGTAGGATTAAAGGATAAGATAGTACGTAGAGGGTACGATGCCCTTGAGTTTCCAGAGATAACCCAAGTGTTATACTCGATTGAAAGCAGTTTGGATTTGGATTTATGTAGGCTCAAATCTGCACACACATACAAACATATGCTAAGTTGGGCCTATTCACTTCTCGTAGTCCACCAGCAATTACAGCTTTAGCTATTTACAGTAAATTGCTGACAAACTTGAGAATCACCCATCCCAGGTGTTGGCAGTCCTCAGTCATATCTGTCCAGCTACCGAGGTTGGGGTCCGGGAGAGGAGGGGGTGCTGTCAACAGCTAGGTCTGTTCATCACCCAATTGATGGGGTACTCGATATTCCACCATCACCCTATCACATCACACATACATGCTAATAATACATTCACTCCCAACACAAGCTATTATTACTACATATAATAGAACAACCCCATTTCCTCCAAGAATTGGAACAGGGGGATCCAAAAACGCCGTTCTCAAGTACATTTTCAAATCAGGTGGCATTTCTGTGCGCTTTCTGTATGGAGCCGAGTTGCACCCTTCATTTAGGTGTGGCACATCAAGCAACCTTTCTCTGCTTTGGTTCAAAAGTAGGACAACCTCGCATATCTTATTCTTAATCATGTGAGGATGACCATTCTTCTACAGTCAGATCCTCTGAGGGCCACCCATTGACAATGCTCTTAATACATTTTTTTCCCTTCTTCTCGGGAAAAAAATTAATAAAGCTTAAATAGTGGCGGGACGAACCGAGAAGAGAAGCACGAGAAGCAGGAAGCAATTCGCGGCTTGCAAGATCCTGATCGGGATGGCACTGGGTCCGAGATTGGAAAAAAAAAAAAAAAAAGCAAGGAGATTCAGTTGGATATAGATGTTTCGAGGAAGAGGTGGTCTCCGCGAGGAAAATAAAATATTGTTTTTTAAAAAGTGTATGTGTGTGTGTGTGTGAATTGTGAACCTAGTCGGGCTGATCGAAGAGTTCCTACGAAGAGGAAGGGGGCTGATCCCGGCAAGTGAGGAGTGATCCCGTGAGTTGGTACATTTCCAATTTCTTTAGGCCTGATAATTCTGGACTAGAGACATTAACTATAAATTTCGGCCTTTTGTTAGCTTTTAATTTAAAAGGATTTGTCTATGTACTTGTAAATAGAATAGTTTTCTTCCTTCAGTAGAACAATAGTTCTACTCTTCTTTTCCTTTTTATCCCCTGGTTTCGGTATTTATCCTTCCCCAAAAATCCTCAACGTAACACCTATAAATAAACTTTCACCTCCTCACCAACCATCACTTGTCTCTCCCTTCACCACTGAGCTACCGCCAACGTACGTGCAGCCGCAGTAAGGAAGCTGTAACACTCTTGATATGTGAGAGCTTCTCTGTCTACCCAGCCCATTTATGCTGCCACCTTCTTTTAATCACGTTTTTTGTTGTATTCTTAGCGTCAGAGGTGGTTAAGTTCGGTGGTTGGGACATCCCGGCCTAGTCCACCTTTTCATTACCCTCCAGACCTATGCGTCTAGGTATTCAGACAACAACCACCATTTAGCCAAGACGCTCCAGTTTGTGGTATCTCTACAACAAAAGCACTATGAGTGGGTCAATGGAAAAACCTCGCTGAGGGAGTAGGTGCAGACTAGGTAGGCAGAGCCACCATCTTCTTGAATCATTCCAAGTGTGTACAGTATACAGTTCTACCGTGTAACTCGTACAGTGTAGCGGGAGTGACCACGAGGTGGACGCACCCTCGTGATACATAGCACTTGCCACAACTTCATCAGTCTTAAGCCTAGTACGCACTGAGATTCTTTGAATCGATTCATGTTGCGGGGGAGAGTCGGGGCTGCGTAGATTCATTGGTGCGATGCAGCCCCGACTCTGCTCCGCGACAAAGAACCGTGTCCAGACCAAGATTCAATTCACAATCATCAGTTCCTGTGAAAGACAGAGGAACTAGCACTCAGGAATTTCCCTTGCTCTTTTTTGCAGTGTACGTAGCGCATCCAATCAGAAGTGCATTAAAAAACCTGTCATTTTAAAGTGTGCATTTTTTTTCAATGTCGGCGACGGAAACACTGAATTTTTGGGTTAAACCGTTCAATGTTTATCTTTTCAATCCCCGATTTCTGTATTCCGTGAATTATACATCCTACAAACACCGATGGGAATGCATGCCTTCAGTAAACTGTAAAGTCAACTCGGTACTCCACAAGACAGTATCAAAATCTTCAAGAAAACACTAACTAGAACGTTAACTAAACAAATGAAGCAAGAGCGTTGTTCCGATTGACGTCCGCACTGGCAAATGTTGCGCAACATTGAGTCAAAGAACCCCACATCGGATGGGATTTAAAAGAGTCTGAAAATGCTAGCCTGCAACACACCAGATTCATCGCAACAATGAGTCGGGGCAGCCCGGACTCAGGCTAGACGCAGCTGAGACTCTCCGGAGATGCATAGAGTTGACTCAAAGAATCCCAGTGAATACTAGGCCTTAGACCTGTCTGTAAAGACGAGCTGAAAATCTTGATATAACCTCCAAGAACTTAGCTTGGTATAGGTTTGGTGGAGTAGCTGACTTGGCTAACATGGCAAGATATTGCTGAACGAGTACAGCGGGGAGAACCCAGGGCGGAGTTGCCGGGGTGCCTAGCTTGAGTGCCATTTAAGTGTCTCACTAAGGCTTTGCTGAATTGTATTCCTAGAAGTCAGAGAAGTGTATTCCAGGTCTGAAGTCACTCGTATATTCTACTGTACTGGCATTTAAGGATCGCACCAGAAAGCGGATGTCACGGTTTGGCAAGGAGGGTGAGCTGCTCCCTCCGAAATTTGGGCAGCAGCACTCCCAGCTTCAGCACAGGCTGGTCAAAAGGTTTGTTCTGAATGCACCAGAGTCCCATTGAAGACCTACTATCTGGGTCCTCTACAGGCACGTTTTTTGGGCTGAAGAATAGGTCATGCAACCATAAAACAAGATTGACCACAGCAGCGAGTCAAATATTTTCAGGAGGGTCTCCCGTTCCCCCCCACCTGCTGTGACCAATGAACTTGTGGGTGGATATAGTTTGATAACCACGCCTACTCATATGTACAACAATTTATTGATTTATTTATTTACACGCTATTAGATCAAACGTACTTTCCGCTGGCTTAACCTTCCTCGTCTCTGGTCACGTGCTCTACCAGCAGTGTTGCCCCACACCACTCCCCTCTCAGCGGCCAGGTCAGCTTATGAACTAGGTATAGCGTCCGGGAAAGCGAACTTAACATCCTGATCTTGTACTTCTTGATAATGATGGAGGTTCTTCATTAAATGGAGTGTTTGTCGGTCAGCTGGGTCAGTATGTGAATTCTGAGGATCGGCTAATACATATGCAGGTTTAAGCCTATCGAAATATTAGACTTCTTCCCTTTAATTTCCACCATGAAGAATTTAGGGTGCCTTTCCAAGGCAGGATATGGTCCTTCATATGGTCTATCCAAGGAAGCTTGTATATGATCCACTCGGACGAAGACATGAGAACTGCTGTGGAGGTCCTTGTGTATAAAGGTTTTCGGCTGTTGTTTGTGCTCTGATTGTCTTGGTTTAAGATTATTGAATGCAAAGCGTAATTGACTGACTAGGCTAGGAAAATCTGGGTTAAGTTAGGGCTCTTCAAAAAAATCGCCAGGAATACGCAATGGAGTACCATATACTAGTTCTGCAATGTACGCTTGTGCTGTATCATTGAGTGAACATCATAGACCCAATAAAACCATAGGTAAGATGGTCGTCCAATCTTTCGAGTTGTGAGCCATGAAGGCTGACTTTAACGTTCGGTGTAGCTCTATTTTACCATTGCTTTGTGGATGATCGGTTACAGTATGAGTGAGTTTAGACCCACAAAGTTTAGTCAGTGATATAAATAATTCCGAACGAAACTGTGTTCCCAGATCGGTGACAATTTGATGCGGGCATCCAAATCTCGCAATCCAGCCTTCAAAAAAAGGTTTGTGAATTTCATTCCGCGGTGTGGTTGCGCAATGGTATCACTTCCATCCAGTTAGTGTAGCGGTCAATGCAAATTAAACAATAGCAGTAGTCGTTAGACGTTGGAAGTGGTCCCACTATAATGTGGATGATGGAGAATCGTACTATGTCATCAGGGAAGCGTTGTAACGGTGCTTTATTACGTTTAGTAACTTTGCTGCCCTGACACACCAATTGTGAATAGATATAGTTTGATAACCACGCCTTCTCGTTTGTACAACAATTTATTTAGTTATTTATTTACAGCTACTAGATCAAACGTATTTTCCGCCAGCTTAACCTTTCTCGTCTCTGGTTATTACATTTTTTCCTTCTTCAAAAAAAATTAATAAAGCTTAAAAGTGGCGGGACGAACCGAGAAGAGAAGCCCGAGAAGCAGGAAGCAATTCGCGGCCTGCAAGATTCTGATCGGGATGGCACTGGGTCAGAGTTTGGAAAAAAAAAAGAAACGGAAAAAAAAAGCAAGGAGGATCAGTTGGGGATAGACGTTCCGAGGAAGAGGTTGTCTCCGCGAGCAAAAGAGAATATTGTTTTTCAAAAAAGTGAATGTGTGTGTGTGTGTTGGTTGTGAACCGATCGAAGAGTTGTTACGAAGAGGAACTGGCTGATCCCGTGAGTTGATACAATTCAAATTTATCATCAGGCCTGATAATTCGAGACTGGAGACGTTAATTATAAGTTTCGGCCTTTCGATAGTTTTAATTTAAAAATATTTGTCAATGAATTATAAATAGAATAGTGTTATTAGTATCATCGAATTTTTTTTTGTTATTTTTTTTTATATCGTATTCTAAACTCTAAGTAGGCTAAGTACCCTAACAAATCTTCTTGTGTTAACGAATTAAGAAGCAGGAAGAACTTGATAATTTCGCTTCCAGCATCCTGGTTGGAAGCGCCATCAGGAAGAAGAGCGCCAGAAGCGCTGCATCGCTACCCTTCTTTTTTTCCACCTTCTTCCGATCGTCCGACTTTTCTTTCCTTTTATCCCCTGGTTTCGGTATTCACCCTTACCCAAAAATACCGTGGCGCTCAACACTTATAAAAAAAAACTTCCACCTCATCACCGACCATCACTTGTCTCTCCCTTCAACACGTTCCCCCCCTTCTCCACTGAGCTACCGCCAACGTACGTGCAGCCGCGGTAAGTAAGCTGTAACATGGTCACGTGTGCTCTACCAGCAATATTGCCCCACAAGCTTAAATAATGTTATTACTTTCCTTCTCTTCACCTCGACACCAGCTATATGTGGCTGCCCTCTAACTTTTGATAAAATGTGAGGCCACTCTATATACCTTATAGCAGCGCCCCTCAGGCAGAGCCACAGAAGGCTGTGGGCCCTCAGCCTATAAAACTGGAAGCATTCGGTTTTCGATGCAGAAAAGGTGAATCAAGTATCCTTCTCGGCTCTTCCAGCCACAACTATCACTGAGTGTATCACAAGGTCCACTAGGTCTTTCTCTTAAGGTCGTCAGCATACAATAATTGTGTGATTGGTCGGGAACACCTTCAGCATTACGATCGAGAAAAGTGTGACGCTCATCACTGAACCTTGAGGGACTCCATTTTCTTGAACAAAGTCCCTGGAGAGCATGGGCCCCAATCTAACATGGAATTTTTGGTTTGTAAGGAAAGTCTCAAGGGACCACTGGGGTAATTTGCCTCTAAACCCAAATAGCCTTACATTCCCAAAGTATTGCATATCTCCACGTGGTATCATATGCTTTCTTGAGGGCAAGGTGTGCTCTCTCTTCAGAAACGTATTATGAATGCCACTCTTGAGAAGGCAAGCATGATCGATTGCGGAACGGAACTTCTACACTTGCTTTTTCATCTCAACCAAGACCTTACATTAAAAGTATAAGTAATTAAAAAAAAATTTATCTTGATAACAAAAAATTGATTTTATACACCTCCTGAATGGGCTCTTAATAACAAACAAAAATACTTCTTTCTTGCATTACATATGAAAAATGTACATGAGTCCTGACTGAGTTTAATTTTTCAGGAATAGGCAGTTGAGGGCTCATCTCGTCGTAGAAGCAAACGCCGATTCTATTTCAAGACTGCACGAGCACACTGTAAGTATCCAAACGTTTCAATCACTCACGCTTCTTTTAATTAATAATTCTGTATATATATAATTTCACATTTATTTAGTTGATTTTATTTTAAAAAAAGGCTTGGTACTCTTTTTCAAAACTGTGACTACACTTTCTGAATTTAACCCGATGGTTTTTTTCCACCTTCTTGTTTTATCTTCTTCATTCTATTCTGTTAGAAACTGTAATCACAGTGTATATTATTTAGCAACTTGTAGTTTTATATTACAGAGCATGTAACTCATCTGCTGTAGTTTTATTTTATTAAGTTTATATTGATTTTTTTATTTTTTATTAAAACCCTCTTCTTTTTATGCATGCGACTAGTCTGGTGGGAAATAATATTCATATTTAAAAAAAAAAGCTTGATTATAAGTAACATTAATTAAAAGTTTTCTCATAAACAAAATATTTCTTTTTTAAACAATTTGATTCAATCAGTGTATATAAATAACCAAAGCATAAAAATTAATAGAATTAATTTATAATAGTTTATGATTTTTTCCTTAAATTTTGATTTATTTTATGTTTTGCCATTGACTGTAGAATATACATTGTAATTTATAATTATATACTGATTCGAATGTTCTCTGCACCACGCATGGAGACATAGACTAATAAATAAAGCTCGGCACAAAGAATTACAATGTATATAACTGTAAGCACAAATAAGGTAATTTGCAATACTTATAAGTGGGCACTGTAGTTTAATGCATGGTGTGTTTAGCATGGCGTGGGTGTGCCGATGAATAGCCAACCACGGGTGGTAAACGCCATACCCAAAAAGACAGGTCAGTGATTTACTATTAATTTCTAGTTAAAGACTAATTTATTCCGCTGATTTTGCTTTCTGTATATTTATTAATTGCTTTTTTATTTATCCACCTTGAACTAACATGTAACTTTCCTCGGTAATTGCGTTTGAAATTTATTACATTCGTTTTGTCCGTTTTCTTAGTTGCCATTGGAAGTGAGCCCAACCCGAAGCCCAGTCTGAACGTAAGACATCTGGAACCTCCACCTCTTCCAAAAGCAGGTAATTTTTTAACTAATCTTATAAAACTATGTAAAAACAAAATTTTAAAATATTTTGAGGATTAAATAGTTATAACTTGACTGTTCTTATAGCTGTAAGTACAAATAGGTGATTAATTATATAGCTATAAATATACATGTATGCTCTGAATCACCCATACACATCAAGTGTTTTGGCAGTCCAGGTTGAAAACACAGTTTTATCCATTGTGCTGTCAAAATTAGGCTCAACGGGCAGTCAACAAAATCATTTCATCACCAATACGCATGCAGTTTTTAAAGCTAGACACACTCTCACTTTTTCTAAAAGTGCCCCTAGACGGTCAAGCTGCTTGATCAAAAGCTGGAGCTGAACGATTGAATCAAGCGTGACTATCCGTGTATGAACCTGTTTGGCGCTTGAGTCAAGCATTTACGGTGAATGGTGGAAAGTTTGATTGAAGGGAATTCTTGAAGAGGGCGCTTGACCATCTGGGAGGGTTTCGATTCGCAAAGAACATTGATTAAATGTTCGTGAGTGAAGCGGTTTCTCAATTTATACCACTCCTTTGACCTTCCTCTTCTTGTTCTGCTTCTGCAGTATGGTATGCAATAAAATATTCCTGCTTCCTTCAAGAATCAATACTCAATCTGCTCATCAACATTCCCATAATGGGTTGCATTCCTACACGCTCTCTATATGGAGCCAAAGAATTGCACCTCTCAATAAGGTAGGACACATCGAGCAACCTTTCTTTGCCATACTGAACGTAAACTCCGCATGGCTTGTTCTTAATTATGTGATGATCCCTCTTTTATGATTCAGATCATCTAAAGGCCAAACTCTTGATACATAGGAACGTCTATGCCGATCCGACCCACTGATTTAATTTCAACTGCCATTTCATTTTGATCACATTTTTTACTGCATTTTTAGCAACAAAAAAGGGCTGGGTTGCTCTGGTTAGGTCTGGAGCACATCCAGGCTTAGCCACTTCACCCGTGTTATTTGTTACTCTCTAGACTTAAGTGCCAGGTATCTCTGCAATGAGAGCATGGCGAGAGGGTCCACAGAGAAAAGACAGGTCACAGGCAGCGAAGTTATTACCTTGAGATGAAAACCTGCTAACCTCTAAGTTCCAAGATCTTAACTGGAGATAAAAACAAGGGTTACAAGGTCCTAATTTGGTAATCATATGGCATCTTATGAAACAACCAGATAAAATGTCAAAATCATCTTGGACAAGTTTAATAAGAAGGACCCAAAATGAAATTCCCCAGCTCGAGTACCATTGCCAGTATCATTCCATCCCTAAGGTTTCCCATGATTCTCATCCAGGTATGAATTCAGATCCTTGAATATTCATGCTAATAAATACAATCACCCTCAGTATACACAAGATATCACATGTCCCCTCCATAAGTCAGAACAGATGACCAAAAGTCTCGTAGCCTGCCATGCTTCAGCCTATTTGGATTTAGTTATATCTAATTTTAATATGTATTTATAAACAGAAAATTAAGTTGGTAAGTTATATTTCTTTTGACTAGTCATAAATTAAGTATTTGTACCTCTAGCCTTTGCCTAACTTGGTAAAGACTGAGGATAAAGTGGTGAGATTTTCCCATTCTACACTAATCCCAACTCTTCAAGAGTGCCTAGGTTTTGACGTTGAATACATCGCCTAAATTAGTACCATACGTGTTCGATTTGATTAAAATCTGTACTCCAAGGTGGCCAATCAGTGCTCTCAAGTCCAACCTTATTCAGTTTTTTTTATTTTATTTTTTTTAAGATGTTTATTTTATTTATTGCTATCTGTACATAATATACATTGAGCAAATCTGACAGACCTGTCAGACCAGGAGGCAGTAAGGAGAGAAATTAATTCGGTTGGTTAGATAGAAGGTCACGACGCCATTGTCGTTTTAAACGTCGTGGAGGATTGTAAGAGTGAGATGTTGAGGAAAGAGTTAGGGCTAGTGAGTTAGGGTGGAGGGAGAGTTTAAAGTGAAAAGTGTAGAAGCGTGTTTGGATAAGATCTTTGACGAAAGGGATTTTAAGATCTATATGTATCGTTTGATTTGTGACATAGAAGGGAGCGTTGAGCGGTGGAGAATTTGAGATTGAAAAGACTGAATTCGTTGGATCTTATTCAGTTAAATTCTCTAATTTTCGTTGTCCGCTTGACCAATTAATATAATTCAATTAATTAAGGTTTTTAGTTGAGATAAAAAAGTCAGTGTCATGACTAACTCGGGCGTGAGTTAGTGCTCGAGGGGATCGAAGTCACGATAGCTCAGGCGGTAGAGCAGCGGCATATCTAGCCGAAGGTCGTGGGTTCGAATCCTGCTCACGACACTGACTTTTTTATCTCAACTAAAAACCTTAATTAATTGAATTATATTAATTGATCAAGCAGACCATGAAAATTAGTGAATTTAATGAGTTAAAATGAAGTATACTTCACTAAAGCTCTCCGTGGCCATTTCATTTGTCGTCGAGAATCCAATACGATTGATTACACGACATTTGAAAAATGGCAAAAAGGAGGGAAAAAAAAAAAAAGTGGGGTTGAGATGGGAAGTTAGTGCCCGAGCAGATCGAAGTTACGATAGCTCAAGTGGTAGAGTAGCGGTGTATCAAGCCGAAGGTCGCGGGTTCGAATCCTGCTCGTGACACTGACTTTTATATCTCAACTAAAAAACCTTAATTAATTGACTTATTTAGTTAATCATCCACGGTGTTGTCCCATTGTCCAGCAAGAATGTGTGGTGTTTAGTGACCGTTAGTTAATGATTATTTGGACGTCACACCAGACCGCATCTCACGATCCATTAGCAAGAATCTTTCACCGATGTCGTGCACAAATAGCACTTCAAGCTCCTCAATAATCTTGTAAGCTTTGAGATGAACACTGACCCATACAACTTGGTTCACCCCAGAACAACAATAAGTGTATGTATCTTTTTTCCTGGTCATTTTGTAATATTTTGACCAACTGAAGTACCACCAACTGACAATTTAGTTCTTACGAGTTGTGCAGCACACAATAATCTTAAGTACCTGGTCATCCTCTAGTACAAAAAGCCCGTTTGTAAGTATGTCAGGTTCGAATGCATTGCTGCTGGATTCGAACCTGGGACCTTTACCTTAAAGTGATAAGCACTGTGACAATTCCTAAACTGTTGCGGTCCGTTGTCCAAATTTGCATTAAAAGGTTTTTTTGTTTTGTTTTTAGAGGTGAGAAGGTGTCCAAGCATCAGCCTATGCGGTATGGTATCGAAGAGAAGGGAGGAATTCGAGCGGAGATTCACCGCTCCCGCAACTTGCTCACAGTCAAGCCGCGCCACTCTCATTTAACCAAAACCATACCTAGACACATTTTGTTTGTTTGTTGTTTTTCATGGTTTTTCCTTTTTAATTTAATTTTTTGTGAGCTTATACTAACTCGTTGATGGTTATTTGTGCCAAAAGCCCTGTAGAAAAGTGCAAAAGAAAGTTATCCCAGTGACCTTATTAAAACACACATTAACGGTCCTTATACCATTTACACCAAAGCATATTTATTAAACAGATTAAGTTTTTATATGTAGTTACTCTCTTTCTGTTTGCTTGTTGTTCTTTCCTTTTTCAATTGACTTTTTTTTAAGTTTGTTACCGCAGTGTTACTTATTGTAAAATACATTTTAACGTTTGCAAAACCTGTTTACCTTAGACGTCTATTTGTTCTAGGTTTATTATTATAACATTACTACTTTTAAAAGATAACAAATAAAACAAGCCCTCCCAAGGGTGGAGATATGTTTAAAATTAATAATTGTTTTCAAATGTCTGTTGATTTATGGATGTTGAAATTGTTATTTAGCTTATTAATGAAGCAGTTTGATCTTTAAGATTGGGAGTTCTTCATGGAATATTTTTTCACCCAGCAGTTCTGGTAATAATAAACATATTTATCAGGAGGACACCTCCAAAAAATAAATAAATAAAATAAAAATAAAAAATAAAAAAATTGCTCAAAAGTAGTTTTTATTATTATATTTATTTTCTCTATTTCTATCTCTTTGTTACAAATCTTTTCTGTTAGTTTTAGGTTCTCTTTAAACACACTAATCAATTTTGTTTTGTTAAAATAACCAATTCACCCAAATTTGAATTGTTTCGTACAACTTTTATACATACATTTATAAATATACATATTATACATATGAATATATATCATTATAAATAGATGCAGATTATTGTAAATAACATCAAATGTATCAAATTTGTATTAAATACTTAAATAACTTTCTAAATGTATCTATTGTAAAAGTTGTTGTTGTATCGTAATATAACTTTTTTATGAAAATTTTGGTTTTATTTACCTGTACGAAGTCTAGATGAATACAAAGTATAAAAGTACCTTTTTATCATCATTCTGGTCATCTTATCCTTGATAATTATTAAATAAAAAGGACATTAATTACAAGAAAACATGCAAGCCAACTTGTCAAAGTTAACAAAATGTCTGATGGTTCCTGGAAATACACTGTTGAATCTAGGTTCAAAGGCATCTGATTGCACCTGAAAGCAGATGTCCCAGTTTGGCTAGGAAATCAGTCCGTTATGTTTTTTGTTCAGGCTAAAAACGGGTCTTAAATAAAACACCTTTGTTCATTTGTAAAGTTTTATATTTGCTCTCACCATTTTTTCCTTTTTCAAAAAGATTAGTGCTTTGTATAATTATAACGTTAGATATAATGTACGTTTATGTACAGTGAACAATGAATTCATTAAAATATGATGTCAGGCAGTAGTTGGTTTGTTAATTTGTTTTACAGTGAGACCAAGTAATCTCCAACGCACAACATTTTTTTACTCACTGAGGTGTATTACATATTAATTATTCTAATAAATACAATCAATATTTATATATCATATAAATGTACTTTCAATATATGTACAATTTCCTAATACAAATATGTAAATACACTTCCAATATGGAGTTACTAAACGTGAAGAATTCACCAATAAATTCCAAATAAAAATAAACAATTGAAAAGTGTATCTTACTTATTAGTCAAATCCTTTTGCTTGGAAATGAAAAAATGCAGGGTTGTCTTGCATTTGTTTTGACAAAAATTTTTCGTTCAACATTCCAACAAATGTAGTTTGTATTTACACGAGTTTTTCAATTTTCTTCAGTAGGCTTTCAACACCATATAAAATGACCTTCATGGAAAATTATCATACAATCTCGTTTCTTAACATTTTTAAAATTATTGATTTTTACAGAAACTGCCTAAAATCATTTCAGGGGGGAAAAAAAGGAATAGTTAAATTGTCTTTGAAAACATTGATGTGAGCCTTAAGGGCAATTAAAACCCACACACATCGCTAATGTATAATCTTTTTGTTTACATGAATGTAAACATGTTTTTCTACTTTGTCTATAATAAAGCTAAGAGAAATCTGAGTGTCAAAAATGTCATTGGATGGAATTAGATTTTGTCAACAACACTTGTACAGAGCAATAAAACAGACACAAATAGTATTGCCTTTTTGAATATCATATAAAATAAAATTGTACAAAACAGATTAATTTTATTAGACAATAGAACATTTTTATTTATTAAATAATTAGATTTAATTAATTGTATTTCGGAAAGGGCGAGAAAAAAATTATAATTTGGTGTCAGCAATAATTTCTCTTCACAAATTGAGAAAATACACTCACAAAAACTATCTCATACAATGTCCATTTGTTTACAGTATAAAATATCGTACATATATTATTTCAATTATAATTCAATTTTGTATCAGCATTTTGAGGACTGTGATACAAAACGTTTCAATGATTCTCTAACATTCTTTATCATGCATCCGTTAATTTTCCAATTAGTTGTGTATAACTTTATGCATACTTTGATTTCAAAAATAGGCAAATGAATCGGCGGTTGTGAAAAATAATCTGTGAATGTTGATCTTGGACGATGACCGGCTTGTTCAGGCGGTCGTGAATTCAAAGCTGTCTCGTTCGTCTACTGAACTTTCCTTTCTGCCTGTGTGAAAATTAAGAAAAGTAGTTGTTCGAAAAAAAAAAAATCCAAATCAAAACAAAAGGCTTGACTATCTACACTAATTTATAATTTTAAGAGTTAACAATATTTTACAACATTGTAGTTATAATATATATTTCAAATTATAGAAAGAATTTTGAGTTTTTTAGGCTGAATTGATAGAATAAACAAGCGTGAAATATTTTCAAAACACTGTTCAATTATATAAACGGGAGTCGGCAAACTTTTTGGTTTTTGAAGTCATATGATTATTGGCTTTTCAGCGAGGAACGTTTTGTCTCATCCATGTAGGTCCTTATGTGCCATGTGGTCCATCGGATGTCGCTAACCGCAATAGCCTTACAGACAACCACCGGATCCTGCAGTGTACAAAGGCCTAGATGGTGCAATGCGAAACATGCTGACCCAGTTCCAGTTCAACATGTTTTTATGATAAGAGTTAAATTGCAAGCTGATAGAAACTCAGGGGGTTTCACTACAACTTTCGTCCATAAGGCCTACACTCATGGATTTTCGATCAGGTACAAACGCGTTTTGACTTTGCATCATCTTCAGTGAAATCTGTCTTGTTTACCCTGTGCTCTTTGTATACCTTCTGTCAGTGTCGTTAGGGGCATTATCAGCGGCTATTTTACATCTTTTCTTTGTGTGTCATTAGTTTGTAGCTTTTGTGGTGTGTTAGTTTCAATTTCTTCTTTTGAAGATTTATGTTTTTAATTATGTAGAGTTTTTAGTAGTGTGTGTTTGTTTCTGATGCATTGCAACTTTATGCATGGAGAATGCATTTTCTGATATTTTTGTAATCATTTATAGTTCGGCATTATGTGCAATTATTGTCTTAGTGCAACAATTTTGTGTTGTGAATGGTATGATTGTGCATTTGTTATGATGGTTGCGGTGAGTTTTCTGTATGTTTGGAAGTAATTTTTTTTTTTTTGTTCATTCTAGTGAATGTTAGGTATAAGAACATACAGTATCAACTTGATTTCTTTTCCACGCAACTTTTAAACCTGCAGGCCAAAGTTTGCCGAACCCTGATGTAATCTATAAACTTCAAAGAATCAAATCAACATTTAAGCTTGAAATTTGGCTTTTCTAAAAATTTCAGAATTTTATAATTAATGTGTGCTTTTTAGTGGCCGGTTGTTTAATAATTTGTTGGATTCGTGAGGAGTGATCAAGAACGAGGTAGTTTAGAAAAACACCTGTTTAATTTTTTGGTCGTCGTTTCGACCTGTATTCTGGTCGTCTTCAGAGTATAAAGCATGGTGCTATTTTTGTGGTGTTTTATTGGTTTTGTCACAACAAACGCACAAAACCAATATGACACCACAAGAATAGCACCACACTTTATGCCCTGAAGATGACCAATATAAAGGTCGAAACGTCGGTCAAAAAATTAAAAAGTATTTTTCTAAACTACCTCATTCTTGACCGCTACTCACGAATCCAACAAAAAATTTAAATTTATAAATTATAATTAATATTGGACATAATAATAAATTTACGCACTTACCAACAATATTTAAAATTTTAGCCCAAGAACAACATTTTAAAATGTATAATACTTTTACAAAAAAACAACAGTTTGTGCCTTTGAGGCACGGAGCAGATATGCATTAATTATTTACATTTTATTTAAGGCAACTTAATAATTTTTAACAATTATATATCAGGCTGATCCAATTTTTTCGTCTTAAAACTTACTCTTAAAAGTTAAAAATTACTCAAATTTCTTCTTACATTCTTGTAGGTTTTTTTTACCATTAAAAACATACGTAAGTTAGCCGTTAGGCCTTATAAATTCAATATTACACAGTATTCATTGATTCACCGAGCGAAACTTTAATGAAAAATTGTTTTGTTAAAACCTTTAGAAACTTTTTTAAAAAACATTCCAATGAGTCATTGGTCCCTAAAACTCATACAACCAAATTTTTTTACAACTGAAACAGCGTAGTTTCTCAATTTCAGTTTTTTAAATTTTTTTCTCTGAAAAACCAAAGGAAAAAAGCGGGTTAGCCCCAGAAATTGACGGCCGATTAAAAAAATAACCTAAATTACAATTATAATTTTACTTATATTTACATGTATATTTATAACCCTTTTTTTTTTTTTTAAATCAGAGCTTGTATAATCCTGTCCTTTTCCTATAAATACGAATGCCCAGGAGTAACACAGCTAGCAATAGAGTAACAGACGATCTAATTTCTTCGTAGAACGATTAATTAATATACTTTTTGTTTTCCTTTCCATTATAATCTAAGATAAATAACATTGAGCTATAAACGTTTTGCTTTTCCTTATGAAGGAACAACAAAATTCCTCATTAAATACAATAAAATATATTTCCCCAAATATATTATATTACGTAATTTATTTATATTTCTTTATATAATATAAATCGAGATCCTAAGACAAAAGTAATTTTTTCGTCGCTAACAAACTAGTTTTTTTTTCTTGTCCATCTAATACATGTTTATGTTAAAGATTATCTATTAATATTTGTGTTTTATCAAGTTTAACAGCTTTTTTCAAATGGAGGTTATTAAAAAAAAATTGCACAACGCAACAAATAATTTTCGAACGGCAAAACTAAAGGTCCAGACTGCTTGGTCGTTAGTCGTGGTCTATAATTTTCTGTTTGAAAGAATACTTAATACAAAAATTAAAGAAACCAGTAAAGTCTGGCTGTGCAAGGCCTCGATCCCCCCGTGGGTTTGTTTTTCCCACCTCCGAGGCGGGAACTTGCCTCTGAACGAACAATCCCCCGGAACAAATTTGAAACGGCTGAAAGCGTTTGCGTGTAGGAATCCTCGAGGGCCCGTTGACCGGCCTAAAGGACGGCGGCGACGTGCGGCTTGGCAGTGGTGGACGCGATCTCAGAAAGGGTGACGTCTATCGGTTTCCGGTCGTCGTAGAGCGTCGGTGCCTGGAGGATGATCCCCGCGGTACCGACGAGCACGGCGAGCGTGAATATGAGCAGGAAGAGGCGATCCAGCACCATCGCTACATACTTCCAATCTTCCTTCACCTGAAAAAATACACAACATGATCTACTGGTAGTACAGACTACTAACGGGGGAAGTTAGAGGGTAAAGGAAAGTTGAACAGATGATCAGTAATAAGGTGTTAGGATTATGACTACGCACTGCTACCAATGACATTTGGGCCATTGTACATCCTCACCATAATTTAAAAAAAGCTCTTCGTACAGCTTTAACAGACCGCAAAGCTTTGTTAAGGGCTTCCGCGTGAATTCCCAAGTGGTTATCCTCGTAGGAACCTTCACAGATAGGATCTGAGGTCCCGACGTCAAAATTAGAAATAATATGGCTTTATAACAACCACTAATAACATGGATAATTCAAAGATGACTCAGTTTATAGGTTATGCATTGAAGAGAAAGATCCATCCATATTATCTTCGAATGCGAAACTCCTGCTTAATGGACACATAACCTAGGGTCTTTTTAAAAAGATCATCAGGTTCTACAATCTGATGATGAACTATAAGCTCGAAATCCGGATCGTTGAAAACAACAAACTGTGAGTAGGAACTATCTTTTTAAAAAGATTGAACAACACACTCACTTCACCATTTATCATTTCTAATAACCTGGGGTTCTAAAATAACCCGGGAAAAATATTAGCAATAATGATTATTTGGAGATCGTGAGATGGGGGTCTGGTGTGATGTAGATTTCAGAAAAACATTTCTTTATTGTGCTAACGTTTCGATCTTTATTGAGATCATCTTCAGCGCCTGGGATGTATAAACATTGATTACATTATACAAAAACATGTGTAAGCGTGTCTCTTCTGTTTTGGGCCCAACCCTGAATTCGGAGAACCGAAAACAAGGTCCCAGAGGTTTTCTTATGATCGGACCTGACTACATTAATTTAATTTAATGATCAGGCACCTTTTTTTGATATACAAAATTCCAATATTCAATTCAAACCAAAATAAATACGAGACCAAAATATTAATTAAATTTAAATCTTTTATTACAATTTATTTTCAAAAAAGATTATTTTTAATTTAAATAATCTTTTATTCTATAATAAAACCTATTTCAGAATCTACAAACATTAATTTTAAAATCGACGTTAATTCTCGTTTTATAAAGAAAAGTAAAAGTAAAGAAAATTATTATTATTAATTTTTGACCACCAATTAAAAAATATAATTAATATTTTAACATAACTTTTAAAATCAAATGCTCTAGCAAATATAGTTTTCTTTATAAAAATATATTTTTTGCGACAACCAATTAGTTTTTTGACGTCTAAATATAAAATTTACTCACTTGAATTGTGTGCACACCAAAGTTTTCTTTATTACAAATAGATAGCTCTTAACCCATGGAAGACAGAAAGGGAATTTTTTTTTGAATGAAAAAATAGCCCTTTCCTAGCCCCTACTCCTTTCACTGTCAGATGTGTGTGGAGGGGCATGGCGTTACATTCAAATCGAAACGTGACACATGTAAGATGTGAAAATGAATGTGTATGTGAAGATGTGAACAATGATGTACGCAATATAGAAATTTTAGGTTTAATCAAAATATTTGTATTCACTCAGTGTGTTTTCTTTGTAGACGTGCCACGGTTGTGTGTCGTGTTGCAAATGTTAGTAAGTCGTACGATATTAATGTTTTTTGTTTATATATGTTTGATTTTGAAAGAGTGGGGACGGAGGTAAGGATATAAATTCATTTTTCTATGAGGAGTCGGCTTCTTTGTGGTGAAAGAGACCGGCAATGGAAAAAACGGTAACGGTTTGTCGTTCGGGCCTAATTAGCTTTTCAGGATTATTATAGAAGGGATTATTAGGGAAAGGAAGAATAAACTGTTGGGCATTTAGACTATGAATTTAGAATTGCTTGATGTGTGGAGTGTAATGATAGTTTTATAATCTCTTGACTTTGAGTATGCCATGCGAGGTTGACACACTCTTGTTACATACACTTTTGCGCCAGAGGCTGACTGGTGTCCGGTATAATTGAGAAGTTATCATTCCTTAATAATAAATAGATACAAGAGTAGGAAAGCCATCAGGGATGAGAATGGTATTAGAACACGGAACAACCATTTGGTCTCCCAGTTTTGTATTTATTACTATTTATATATTTTATTGATTTATTATTTATTATATATTTTATTTAAACTTACCCGACGTGGTGATGGTGCTTGAATTAAGAAATAAGGCGCTAAAGTTATACCATGCGTGAATTTAGATCTGTGTTGCCGGATGGTATAACCGAAGCGCCGTTTTCGTCAGTAAATTAAAAACTAAATCTCTCCCCTCTTTCTCATAATATATGTACATATATATTCTTTACAGATAATTCAATTTATTTAAAATTTAATAATTTATTGTAAACTTAAACTGTATTATTAACAAATAACATAATGTCAGAATAATAAAATCGAAACCAAACATGTAAGAATCTTTTGTTTTTGTCATAAATGCTGCTTAATGTGATATGAAATGTATTATTTACCTTTTTTTAGAGAGGAAATTTAGGGTAATGAACTGAATTAAGCTTAAAACTGGACTGTGGGTCGGGGAAACGGTCGTTATAAAGTTTCATAATTTACATAAAAGATAAATTAGGAAAATTGATTTAAATTGAACTTGGTAACAAACTCGTTCGGTTTGAAAAAGGAGACATTGATTTTATACCATTATCTTATTTTTTTGTTTTTGTTTGTTAAAAAAAAGGATGTTGTTGACGAGCAAGCAGTCTGTATTCTTTAAAAAAAAACAAATTAAAAACATAATCCTTCATACTGGAATTATCTCCAAAGCTGTATTGTTCGACGTACAGCTGTTTAAATTGAGGACACTAACTNATATAATTTGTACTATTACATATATTATAATATATGTAATTTATTACAATATTATTGTATTATAATATTATTATATTATATATTATTTGGAGATCGTGAGATGCGGTCTAGTGTGATGTAGTTTTATAAAAATATTTTCTTTATCGTGCTAACGTTTCGACCTTTATTTAGATCATCTCCAGGGCCTGGGATTTACTGACAGTGTTTGGGTTATACAAACACATGTAAGATGTAAAAATGAATTTATACAATGATGTAGGCAGTATAGTAATTTTAGAATTAATTAAGATTTTCAGTTGAGATAAAAAAAGTCAATGTCACGAGCGGGATTCGAACCCACGACCTTCGGCTAGATACGCCGCTGCTCTACCACTTGAGCTATCGTGACCTCGATCCACTCGCACCCTAACTTTCCATCTCAACCACACCTTTCGAATTTTCCCTCCTTTTTGCCATTTTTCGAAACCTTTCGAATCCCTCTCGTGCCTTTGACTTTTTTATCTCAACTGAAAACCTTAATTAATTGTAAGATATTAATTGGTCAAGCAGACCACGAAACTAGTGAAATTAAATAGAAATTTTAGGTTTATTCCATGTATTTGTACTCACTCAAAGTGGGTGTTTTCTGTGTAGATGTGTCACTGCTGTGTGCCGTGTTGGGAATGTTACTGAGATAAATGTTTTTTGTTTATATAACGTGAAATTTTCATTAATATATACAAATGTATACAAAAATATATAAAAATCAAGTTATATTACAAGTGGGTGGAATTTTTTTTCTGTTAGTGTATATGTTATTTCGAAAAATACTGTTCGTTAAAAATACATTTACCCTTGTTGAGTCTTCTTCCCGTTTTGTATGATCGGCTATGAACCTGACGCCATCGATCGCTTTGTGCAGTTCCGGGCAGTGGTGCCAGTGGAGCCTGGAGACGGATCCGCAGGCCGGAGGAGGGATGTCGTCCGGAAGGGGCGGCAGAGCCGGGGAACCGTGTATCCTGCAGCTGGAACCGCTGAGCCCGCCGGACAACTCCATCTCCCTCCTCGCCCTGGTCACCTCGAAACACTCTTCGCCGACGAACACCCCTCGTTCTGTGTCCTCGATCCCGGACGGACCGCTCCCGGCCGCGAACCTCGGCGCCCCCGGATAGTCGAGGTCTTCGAGAGGCGGGAAACCCTCCTGGGAGCCCTCGACCAGCCTGGACGCGGAGTCGTGCGTGTACAAAGAGGGGTCCCTCAGCTCCAGCCCGTTGCACGTCCGTACCATTATCCTCTGCGATCCGGTGACACTGTCCGACAAATAGTAACCGTTGCTGTAAACATAGTCCTCATTAATATTTATCAACGTTATACTAAAAAAAGGTCTATCTAAATATCCCAGTTGCCGCAAGACAGCAAGTTACAATAAATTGCTCGCAAATCAATGTGAACCGTTTATCGAATATCTCCTTTTTTAGAAAGAAACATAAAATCATGCTTGGTCCACCATGATTTTGCGAAGGCGACGGCTTTGTGAAGTCCTGGTCAGCGTTGATTACCGACGTAGAAGGTGTGACTGCAGACAGACGAAAAATCATGAACAAATTGTATCACGCTTTCCTCGATATCATACACATCGCTGTACAATTTTAGTTTGAAAGTCGACATCAATTTGTGAGCAGTTTATTAAAGACGAGTGCAATTTTATTACGATACTTGTTCTACATCCTCTGAACTAATGGCAGTCATAGCTGTACGTCTACGCAACGAAGGAGCAGGCTTTATGTAAGCTCTACATGGCGAAGTACCAAAATGAAGTTAATCTCTTTATACCTTCTCCGGTCGATTTGATATTGAGGCCGTCTCATGACAAGCAGCCTGGGCAGAATGTGGATGAACACCCTTTTTACCCAAGGTGACATCGTGTGCGTCTGCGGCGACCTGAAGTGCACGTTCAACACCACCACCGTAACGCATATGCTGTGAATATAAAATCAAGTAAAAACCCATCCTATAATATTAAGCACTACCTTAATTTACCTAAACGTATCCAAAATCATTGTGAAAAGTACAAATTTCCCCAAGAGAGGCACAACGAGTGAGGTAGGTGGAATAATTTCAGCCAACAGCAAGAAGAACACAGTCAACGATAGGAGGATGGATATGGAAAGACTAACCTGCACGCAAAGAGAGTTTTTATAAAAGATTCTTATTTTACCTTTTAATTCCAGAATCGTAAACTCTCCACCTTTTCACCGCTGTCGGATGGCAGATAAAAGACTAGCACTGTCAGAAAGGAGATCCCCATGCAGGGTATGATGAGGTTGACGGTGTAAAAAAGCGTCTTCCTCCGCATAGTGATATTAAACGTAATGTCCAGGTAGGGTTCATCACAGCAAGTGTAAAACTTTTCGTGTCTGAAACATTCAATCCTGCTTTGAGACTTTCAAATTAAATAAATATTTGATAAATTTAATAATTAACAGAGAAACTCTTTAATCTTAGTGAGAGGATTCAAGTTTAAAACAATCTCGAAAGATCTATCAGCCTTAAAAATGTAATAATAATAATAAAAAAACCTTATACTATAGTTTATTTTGATGTTAAAAAAAAATTGAAATTTGAAAATGTTCCGTTTTTAAGTTTGGTTACGTAACGTGTCATTTGGTAGTTTCCAATCCGTCTTGTGTACGTATTCATGACGGTTAGGTCTGTCAGAATGCGTATCTGTATTTTGACAAGTCTAGGGATATAAGCAGGGTGAGGCAACACAAACCCACCAATAAAGATGAATAAAACGCCAAAACGCATCTGACAGACCAAATAGGAAAAATAGCAACCAACCTCCATTTTACTATGGGTAGCATTTGTATATTTTTGTGTAAAAATTTGTCGCAAGCTCCATAAAATTTTCCTAATTTTAGTCGGGTAATCTTAGTAAATATTACTTTATTAATTATTATTACTATATTTACTATTATTAATTATTTTGAACAAGCAGAGATTTATTTTGTAGTTTTGACGGTTCCGATCTCCTATGCACATTGTACAGGGATATAAACAGGGCGAGTATTAAGACCTAACCAACTTTAAAAATTAAAATTCATTGAAATATTAAGAAGTTTGATCGTTTCCGATCATTCAGGTTATTTCCTGACTGGTTTGATCTATTAGATGCGAATCAGATTTAGCAATGTTCTACCTCTCTACCATTTTGCCTAACGGGAACATTTGTCTTATTTTTGTATAAAAATATGTTGGAAATACCATACCACAATTTTAGTTTTATAAGCATTGTAATTTACTGCAATTAGAGCAGCATGGAACTATTTTGTAGTTTGGTCGCGTCTGATCCTTATGGTCTTTCTATTCTCGCTGATTTGGTTTTTGGGGATCAACAAAAATCTACTAATGAAAATGGCGAAAATGCCGTAAAGCGTCAGACGGAAAAAACAGCAAGAACAAAAAAAAACGAAAATGGTATCGTGTGGTTTATTTTTGTGTATAAATTGGTTGAAAACGCCACGCCCAAGTTTTTGTTATTTTAATTAGGTAATCTTAGTTTATATTGCAGCAATAATAGTAAATTACTACAATATACAGCTTGGTCATTCTAATCTTCTTATCCTTGCTGTTTTCGTCTGAAGTCGCGCATCAGTATTACGCAATGATCAGGGATATAAGCAGGGTGCAGCACCACTAAAAAATGGCGAAAATGTCGACATTTATGGTCAAGCAGTGAACTGTTTTGTAGTTTGGTTCTATTGGCCTTCATACCTGGCTCGCTGGTTTGGTATGTACCTTTTGTACTTTTCGTAAATGTATTACGCAATGTTCAGGGATATAAGTAGGGCGAGGCTTAAATTAACACCCAGAACTAAAATTAGAGAATAATAGACGAGCATCAGACACACAAAAACATCACAAATAGTCAAACGAAAATGACTAATCTGCATTTCATCATTTGTAATGTCGGACATTTTTATGTGCAAAAATTTGTTGAAAACTCTAACTTAAATATTTCTTGCAAGTTTTATTGTGTAATCTTAAGTAGTTTGTTGTGAAATACTAAGTAGTTTGATAGTTTTCGATCATACTCTTCTCCTTATTCTTATTGTATGTCGCCAACTTCAGTGAGAGTTTGAGAAACAAGCTGGGTGAGGCAGCAAAGCACAAACACAAAAACAGAACAATGTTTGAGACTGGGAGATACACAAGTCGCAAAACAATACTCATAAACCCAAAGAACTGGTCCGTCAGACGTACATGGGCATGTCGCTTCAATAAAGATCTGGGTTATAAGCAAGGTGAGGCATCTCCTCACGGCAAAAAATATAGAGCTCATCCCTTTGCTCCAAAACGAAAATCTCACAGTGGAATATCCGCCACAGCATGAAAAACGTCAAATTTTTTAATCAAAACATTCCTCATTATTAACAAATAAAATCGTTTCAGCATTGCAGTGCAAAACAGGGTAAACTCCGGTTATTAGTTTAAAATATTTGTAATTTTGCGCATTACAACGTTTAAACCAATTAAATAAGATTAACACAAGCAAAATTACATAACTAGAGTCAAATATTTTAATTGGAGTTGTACTCAAAGATCCACATTACAAGAATTTAATTAAATGTTAATTGAGATCGGAATGAGAAACGCCTGTACTACGAGAACTGTTTTACAGTTTCAAGTAATTTTAGACTAACTCAGTTTTACCTAACAATGTATGTTTCATATTCTTGTAAATCGTGTAAGATTTCATTTTATCTGAACACCAGTCAAAATGTGCTCAAAAGAACAAGAAATAACGATATCGTTATTAATAAAGAGAAGAATAAAAATTCACCTGACGGCAGGAACTTCGAGAATGTCCCATTCAACGGACGTGTAGAATTCGGAAAGGTCCACTCCTATGGCAACTACGTTCGAATCCTTCACCTCGTCCACGTGTCTGAGATCGACCTGAGAAAAAAACAAGTCAACAAACAGTTCAGAAAGCTGAAATTTTAACTCAAAACCAAAATATATTCAACATTATTTAAACAAAAAAATCTGTTGTTATCTAAACGAAATCTATTTCCGTGAATAAAATGTAGAAAGCCCACGCGAATTTTGTTGTGCCCCTTTGCGAGGAAAGGGAATAAGTTATGTTTGGCAAATGACCGTGAGGAATAGGGCGGCTTCGTTACGACGGGCAACCGTCTTGAAAAAGTCCCCAACTTTTCCACCGTCTCACTCAATTTTTCTTGAGTCAAAGGTAGTTTACCTCTGGGAACAAAGCGTGCCTGGCTTGAGTCCAGTCTTGGAGGAATTCGGGTCATCCCCCAACGGTAAACATATACATCATCTCCTTTTGAAAAGATTTCACCAAGTAAACTAGATTTTTAGCCCACCCTTTTCCCCCCTCGGCGCGACGTCGACAATAACAACGGCTGTAACAATATGGTCATTAACCGTGACGATAATAAAAGGCGTTATGGTTGGACTGTGAAAATTGAAGAATAATCTCGTTTAATTTTTTTGTTTAATACAACTGTTTTGTCAAATATAAAATAAACAGAAATTTTCTAACATTAGCATTCTTGCATAAAAATCATAACGTTCTCTATATTAAAAATGTTAACATTGAGTATTTATTTTTAATTATAATCATTTGGCTATGGTAACGAAAAATTCGAATGCGATAAATTTCAATCATTGAAATCGAAATCATTGTTTTAAAAAATATCGTTAAATAGATACTACGTTTACGGCTTGAATTAAATTAAGCCAATTAAATCTAATAATCGGGAGATAAACATTATTATTTCATGGCCACAACTCAGGAATAAATAATTAAAATGTAATCAATGATCAATTATTATTAATGTTACTCGAACGATTAGAGTTTGTAGCACAAATTTATTATTAGCGAGTTTGGATGATTTTTATGCGCATAAATATATATATTTAATATAAATATATATCTCTTATTTAATATAAATGTGCAAAAAGTTGGCATTATCATTTATCTAAATTTAGGTTAATAGATTTAACTTGAAAAATGGCAAGAAGGCTTAAAGTAAATTATCAGGTCAAACTATGTACTTATGATGAGTTACCGGAAAAACATGGAGAAGTAGAAGTTTGTTCTTGGTTATTGGGATATAAAAAACTCATTAACAAAATCAAATAGGTACATTTTGTTTGCTGAAAACATGTCAGTAGAAATAAACGCCAAAAAATATTAAAAAATGTAAATAAAAAGCTACGGCTTTCGAATCGAAGAAAATCAGATGAAAGAAGCATCAAATCGCCAGATGTTGACGTCCTTCAGGAAGAAACTGTTCCAGATGTTGCGCTCGGTCACCAAAGGGCCGAAAAGAGAAGTGACTTTATTCACATGTTAAGCCAGAATCCACGGCCGCTTTTCCCCGGCATTCCTCGGGTCGATCCCCATCGCAGCAGACGCACCGAACACAAATTTCAAATGTTATAAATACTTCCATATTTAAAAAAAAAAACTCGTACTGACATCAACTTTACATAAATAACACATTTTTTCGAAAAATAATATTGTATATATTCACTAGTGTTCGTGGTCCACTTGACCAATTAATATCTTTCAATTAATTAAGGTTTTTAGTTGAGATAAAAAAGTCAGTGTCACGAGAGGAATTCGAACCCACGATCTTCTGCTAGATACGCCGCTGCTCTACCACTTGAGCGTGACCTCGATCTCAGAGCAGGTCAAGTGGTAGATCAGCGGCGTATCTAGCCGAAGATCGTGGGTTCGAATCCCGCTCGAGACACTGACTTTTTTATCTCAACTAAAAACCTTAATTAATTGAAAGATAATTAATTGGTCAAGCGAACACTAGTGAATTTAATAAGTTAAAATGAAGTCTACCTTTACTAAAGTTCTCCGTGGCAATTTCATTTGACGCCGAGAATCAAATAGATCACACTACATATGAAAAATGGCAAAAAGGAGGGAAAATTCAAAAGGTGCGGTTGTGATGGGAAGTTGGTGTCCGAGTGGATCGAGGTCACGATAGCTCAAGTGGTAGAGCAGCGGCGTATCTAGCCGAAGATCGTGGGTTCGAATCCCGCTCGTGACACTGACTTTTTATCTTAACTCAAAACCTTAATTAATTGAAAGAATTGTATATATTAAAAATAACATTTTAAAGTTAATAAGTTAATTATTTTTTTGGAGTGTTTTATTATTGTTGTTTTATTCACATATTTAGAATTATAGTCTTAATGAAATTGAAGTGATTTACAATACAATTAAGGCTACGGTTACTATGAATGCGAATTCTGACGAAAATTTGTTCTGTCGAGTTCTGACAAGTTCATCCGAACAAATAAATACTTGTTTTCCAATGAAAGTATTTATTTTGGCTGCGAAGTGCATGTGTTTATATATAATAAGAGAATCGAATCCCGATTAAACGACATTTGAAAAAATGGCAAAAAGAGGGCAAAGGTTTGAGATAGCTCAAGTGATTAAAGTAGCGGCGTATTGAGCAGACGAATCCCGCTCATGACACTAAAGATTAATATAAAGCAAGAAATCGTGAGTTACAATTACCTTAGAACAAATTAAAAGTATGAAATACCAGTTGATTAGAATGGCTACCCAACTCAAGACTATCATGTACTTTGAGCAAGTCTTTTGTGATTATTCCCTTACTAAGCAAAATAGTTCCTTCAAAAAATTAACAAAACATACTTTTTTTATTACATTTATTTGATATTTACAACTACAAGTGATATATTAAGTAAATATGTTCGTATATGTTGTATTATCATTTGAGGCTCTTGTAGGAGAAGTTTCCCCTTCACACTGATATCTTGTTCAGTCTTTACTCAATGAGAAGGTCTCGGGGCCACTTTCGCTTTAATCGTCTTGGAGGATTTTCAGATATTCCAACCGGAAGTGATAAATGTCGTACGAATAGATTACTGTGTGTGTTCAGTGATTGGTGAAATTTTTTATAGCGGGTTTTGATGAGTTCATGTACAAACGGGATGTGTAGATCGTTATGAATAGTGTAATTTGAAACGTAAACAGGAGCATTTATAATTTGACGGAGAATTTTAGATTGGATTTATTGGAGACGCTGGGAATTGGAAGCCTTGGTTGAGCCCCAGACTTCACAACCCCAGAGAAGTCTAATCACTGTTTTATAAATTAAAAGTTTGTTTTCAATGTCTAATTTTAATCGTGAGTCAAGTAGTTTTTTTAACAATTTATAACGTCGGTTGGTTTGCTGTTTTTTCAGTCCTGTGTGGGGAAAAGTCCATGAAAAGTCCAAGATAACGCACAAGGTCAGTGGTAGGCAATGGAATTCCATTTATACTCACCGCAGGACAGACATTTTTACGTGAGGTAAAATTTATCTGTGCGCTTTTCGTTAGGTTTATCTTTATTCTCGACTTTGTGAACCATACTGTAAATTCATTCAGGTGTTCAAAACATACAAAAGAATTTATACATGCATTGGCTCAAGCGGTTAACCCAACAGAGTCATTCTTGTTATTGATGCGGGTTTTAAAATCTCCCCCCCCTTTGAATTGGAATATTTCCCGGAAATACGCAATCCACTTTTGCGAAAATGTACCAAAACTTTTAGGTCTCATTTGAATAAATAAATTTGATACTATTAGCTATTACTTTGGCATTAAGAAAATGGTTAGGTCTCTTATTTTATTAAAGACAAAGGGGTTACTATTTAAACTGTTTTTTAATAACTTTCGGTTATCGAAAAAAATGAGTGTTGCATTGAAAAAAGCCACCCTGTAAATATAATTGTATACGAGTTTTAAAAACAAGCTTTTCAAATATATAACGTTTTGGAATAATTAATTATTTTTTTGAAACTTCGATAGTAACTGTCCTACCGAGGCGGATACGGCGTTAAGGACCGACACTTCCGCAACACTTACAAACATTGCCGGTTTAGTATATCTGTTCAATTTTACACCTTAACACGCCGATTCCTATGCTCAATCTGGACGATTTATTATCAAACAGTTTCGCTTAATTAATAGACCAATTAGTTATTCTTTTCATCTAAGGTTTTTGGTTGAGATGAAAAATTAGTGTCACGAGAGGGATTCGAACCCAGGACCTTCGGCTCAATACGCCGCTGCTCTAACCACTTGAGCTATCGTGATTTTGATTCTCTCGGACACCTCTTTTTCCCATTTTTCAAATGTTGCGTTATCAGGATTCGATTCTCAGCGACTTATGAAGTGGCCACGGGAAGCTATTAAATAAAGTAAATACTTCTTTTAATTATTAAATTAATCCATATTCGTTTAGTAGCCATAATTGACTATATTCATTATTCCAATTAATTATTCTTTTCATCTAAGATTTTAGGTTGAGATGAAAAATGTAGAGAGCATTCTTGACAAATGAACAATATACTTGGCCAAATTTTGACAATGCTGAATCCAAAATGTTATATCAAAATCTGTTATTAACATATATTCCAATAAAGGCAAAAATAAAGGATTATCTAATACCTCCGTCATGTCTTGTTTACGCCTGAATTTAAATTTTATTTTTTGTTTTAATTTAAGTTGAGTTTGTTTGGTCTCGTTGCCACGGGAAAAGAATGTTTACGCCTCCCGTTGCTATGGGAACCAAATGTTATGCTTTTGGTTGCCATGAGCACCAGTGTTTACACGTCGCCGTTGCTACGGTGAATTGTTTTGTATTTTTCATTACCATGGAAACTTCTTTTTTTTGTCAAGTCCAGTCAACTGGACCAGTCGCGTCTCAACCGCCAAGATGACAGCATACGCTCTGTTTCTTACATTTAGATGTTTCAGGCAGTAATTTTATATAAGTTATTTTGTATTATAAATCGATAGTTCAACGTTCTGTACTGTTCAACAATACGGGCGTTATTATTATTATTCGTCCGCCGCACTAAATCAGTTGTATTCTGTGTCTTGATTCACAA